AGCAAAATCTTGGTCCTCTGCTTTTAACCATGTGGAGTGCTACCCCTCTAATTAATGATCTAGGGCAATATGCAGCCAGTTTTCTTTCAGCTCTTTGGCCTCTGGGATAGTCAGGAGCCAGCAGAGATGTACAGGAAGCTCAGTCATTAAAGGATTTAGTTTCCTCTACTGTACATCAACTGCCATATTTTAATCCTTTGCTTCAACTACGATTGTTGTTAATATAAGTGATTCAATCATAGTTTATAGCATGCTTTAGCAGCTAGGATATTTAACATGCTCTCCTGGCAGCTTGGCAGCCGAAGCAACAGCAAAATCTGGGTCCTCTGCTTTTAACCACGTGGAGCGCTACCCCTCTAATCTAGGGCAATATGCAGCCAGTTTTCTTTCAGCTCTTTGGCCTCTGGGATAGTCAGGAGCCAGCAGAGATGTACAGGAAGCTCAGTCATTAAAGGATTTAGTTTCCTCTACTGTACATCAACTGCCATATTTTAATCCTTTGCTTCTTAAAAGCAATCTCCAGGCAAAGCCCACAGAATATATTGATTTTTTAATTATTTTTATTTTTTTTTTGCATACGTCGAAGTGAGTTTTGCCCATTTGGTCTAGTTTTCATCCTATGGGACTTGTGCCTTTCTGGTGGCAGTGAGTAGGATGTGGTGGCTTTGTTCTGACCCATGGTGATGGTGGATTTTAGCATCACTGTAGTGCCACGCCACGTACTCATCGCTACTCCAGCGCCACAGCACACCTAGTTCGGCGTGATGGAAGCTGTCATGCAGGGCCAAATGCCACCCCTGGTCATGTCAGGTCTTGTTTTGGTAAAGGGTTACATCTCCTTCAGAACCAGACTTTTCTGTGATTCAGCAGCACTGAACGCTCTAGCACTCAGGGAAAAAATGAGAATTCCCTTATCAAGGCTCTTGTGCAATGATGCCACAGCAAGCCAAGGGGAGACCAGTCCGTGCCTGGGGCTCTGCAGCAGATCAAACACTCTCCCGTCAGCCCTTGTTTGCACAGCTGCCAGGCTCGGAAAAGTCACCCAAAGTCACTGGTTACCCAGTTCAGTTTGTTCCTTTAAGTCTTGGCTGGCAATTTGCTCATATGTTAAAATATTGCTTAGGTGCAACGTTGCCTCCATTCATTTCTGTTGTTGACAGCTTTGTGTGTCCACGTGGCAGAATCATAGACCTTAAAGGCTGAATGGGAAACTTAATAATTTTACATGGTTGCACCGAGCCTTTTGGCTTGTGTCTGCCCGCGGCATGGTGTCCAAACCAGCACTGCCCTCAGAATGGTGAATCCATCCTTTCTCTTCATAGTTTCTTAGCAGGATTAACCATTCTTTATGGGTTTTTTGTATACTTAAATTCCCCTGATTCTCATTTCTAGATTTATTTTCCTCTTTTTTTGTCCCCTGGACTGCAGCATCTCATGGGCCTGGTAAGGTGAAGAGTCTGGAGTGGTTTGGTTAAAGTATTAGCCTCTCTTTATTTGCATTTTTATTTCTAGAATTGCATTTTTATTTCTGTTGAATGGTCCCAGAATATTCCTGAAAAAGAACAATCTGCTTTGGACAGACTTTATCCAGGGCAGGTTTATCTATAGCAGCATGGCAGCCACGTGTTGGGAAGGAGGAAGGCTGGAGAGGGAGGAAAGAGGGAAGAAGGTGGCTGCAGAGAAGTGGGGTTAAGATATTCTCACTGAGATGGGAAGGAGAAGGGATTGGGATAATTTGGCCCATTGGTTAAGATATTACCTTGGGGTCGGGGGATCTGGTTTCTCAGCCCACTCTGCTCCCTCCTCTCATGCGATTACAGCAAAACTTCTGGCTTTTCTGCACGCCCCTTCCACTTTAGTAAAATGAGAACAGCACCTTATAAAAAAAATAAATCCTGGCAGGTCTTGAGGAGATCAGATAGTCCAGTGAGTATTTCTGCTAAGCGAGATCACCGGCGGGGCAGCGGGGAGGCATTTGGAGGCTTAGCAGAATGAATCCTCTGAACCTTTGAGATTCACTCGGTGCTTCTAGAGGGGGATAAAAGCGGAGTTAATTAAGCCATTCCCAAATCCCTCCTGATCCGTGACCATGGAGTAGCTGCCGCTGCACAGTGCTTCCCTCGGCTTTTGATGTACCCGAGCATCTGTGCAAGCCAGGAGTGTCTGTTTGGCTGGTACATGCATGTCTGGCACCCCCAGTTTGCTCGCCAAGGAGTGGGACAAACCAGTCCCGGTCCCCATTGACCTTTGTGGTACTGGTAAAGTGCTGTGAGGATACATTCCCAGGGTGTTATTGTAATGTTCAGCCCTGAAGGGTTAATTATTGTGTATCAGGGCTGTAGGCGATGGCTGGACTGTGCTTCAAAGTGAAGAAAGGAGCGCAGGAGTTGCTGCTGGCTGCAGTGACCTCTGCTGGGAAGCCCATGGCTTCTCTGGTCCAGCTTCACCGACTCAACCGGCAGCTTGATCTAGACTGTAGCTTTTTTCCCCAAGTGATTTCCATCGATTTGTTTGTTTGGGTTTGTTTTTTTTGTTGTTGTTGTTTTTAAATTTTGCATTTTCTTTTCCTTTAAATAGCTTGTCATTCTAGAGTCCATCTGAGTGGAGAAATGTTGTGCGGGTCAAGCTGCTCGATTCACGTGCATGCTGTGTGTGCTTCACTGGGAATGTTAAGCGCTGCGTAACTCCAGGATTAAGGCCCTGCAGGTTTTGGGGAGGCTGAGGCAAAGCGGAAGATAATGTCTCCTTCCCACCTCAACAAGCCCCTTGGGTGCAGCGGCCACCAGTGGATGGGGTGGATGGTGTCCACAGGCATCACCTCCCAAAGTGACATCTCCTTCCTTCATCCCAATGAGGATGGCTCCCTTTGTACTTCGGGGGTGATTCAGCTTCTTCTGCTGCCTTCTTCCAGAGTGACCTTTATATTCGCTCTCTCCCTGAATCCCTCAGATCCCACATCTGATTTCAGAGAGGGGCAGGTTGGACCCCGTGGTGGTAGGACTAAGCTCTTTCTCCCCCCTTCCCTTTAAAGCCGAGCAGTTTTATCCGCCTTCGGACAGCGCAGTGGCGCGGTGCCCATTTGGTTTGCAAATCAGGAAGGGGAGAGGGTCTTGCAGCAGCCCTCAGTGTGCGGCATTGCGTGTCTGATGAGATCTTTTTCTGGCCTCCGCCTCCCTGGCTGATGGTCTTTGTGGGCAACCCACCCGTTAGCGGCGTGGGTGACAGTCAGGTGTGCTGGCAGCTGTCTCAGAGGGGGTTCAGTGGGTTTGGAGAACCTCTGAGGCTCTCAAAAATAGAAGTGCAAAGCATTATTATGTGCATGGTAAAAACCATAGCCGCAGACTACGTTGGAGGCTTTAAACAGATAACACTACGGCAGATTATTTGTATTAAAGCCGCCTTCTTGATCATGATGGTAGGAGGAACACAAATGATCACATGAATGTGCTTGTGCACAAAGGAAAATGTATAAATACATATGATAATTTCCATTAAAATTGACTATTTGCTTGAAATGTCATTTGGGATCCTAGTGTACCTTCAGCTGACAACTATCAAGGCAAAACTGCCCTTGCCCTAAATGTAACCTTTAAGGGACTAGGCACTAGACCCGCACAGCAAAATAAAGGTTTCCAAACATGTGCTGTGTAAAGCCAAGTGGGTGGTGTGTTGGTTTCCTGTTGTCAATATTAAGGACTTAATTTGTGATGCAGTCTACCTGGAAATTTTGCTAAAATATCATGGGATTTTCCAGATATTTATGTAGAGTGAGGAGCCTACTCAAGTATTTGTTTCTCTGACATCCTGTAGCGCGTTATACTTGAGTTTACTTATTGTAGATGTTAAATTTCCTGTGCATGAAGGTCCTTATATGAATGCAGCTTTTGATGACTGATTATGGGCGTAAATTCAGCTCAGTCATAACCTTTCCAGTGAATTCAGAGGAAATTGGATTAGTCTGTGTTCTTACGGGAAAGATCCTGCTGGGCACAGGGAATCTTCTGCTCTCAGCAGCTTCGTGCAGACGTTAGGGCGCTTGAGACCGTTGAGGATGATGACCTGACACATGATTAAGCATCTTAATTAAGCTACTTGAACCTTGAAATATGTAGAGAATTTTGCATTTGCTGATGAGGCACTTTTACTTTCTTTCTGGATGTGTCCATCTCCTGGTTAATGAGTGGTCTCTGCTTTCTCTTGCTCTTAAAATGATTGTAATTATTATTCTGCCCCTGGAGTTGGGCTGGTAGTCTCTTTAGGGTTTGCGCAAGTTAAATGTATCCGTTGGAAATTATTTGTAAGCATTTGAGGAGCAAACCCAGAGAGGCACTGCTCTAGCAGCTAATTAGATGTATGCTTGTAGAGATGATTTTTCTCTCTAAAGCTAGCATTTTGACAAGAGGCGTAGTGGGAATGGTCAGTGGGAATGGTGAAGGTGTAGAAAACCCAGGAATATGCTTGGGAGATGTCACACAGAAAGCGTGTTGTGCTTAACAACAGGGGAATTCCTCCTTGCAGGGGAATTTGGGTGTCCAGACCAGGTGTGGCATCGGAGCGGGGTGAATTTGGTGGGAAGGAGCGTGGGGCTGTCATACAGCAGCTGCCTACCTGTGCCAGCCTCTGGGCAGGGGCAAATCCCTGCCTTCCTCCTGCATTCCACACTCTGCCTCCCTCACACCCTGCTGTGCCGCTGTCCTGGGGCTTCAACCTCCAACCAACCAACCATCTTCATGCCTCTGACTGTAAACCTCTAATGCCCCAGATACTTAACCCTTAAATATTTTGGCTTCAGAGAGGACTGAAGGAATTTTCTGCAAGTAGTAACAGTCTTCTGGTCTGCGAAGCACTCCTGACTGTTTGCTTTGATCAGTATTATATTTTGTGATGCTGAATAGAGACTGACAAGTAGAGTCTTAACTAAAAATAGCTATATGTTTTGCAGCCACATAAAAAAGTAAAAAGCAGTATTTCATCTTATCTTATCTTATGTTTTTTTTCAGGATCAAGCATGAAAATATAGTTGCCCTGGAAGACATCTATGAGAGTCCGAACCATTTGTACCTGGTCATGCAATTGTAAGTACTGAACCCAATGAAGTTTCTGTGTCAAAATTGCCAACTCTTCTTGTTCTTGTTCAGTTTTTGTTCTTTAACCTAAAAGATGGGATACGTGGGAGGTATTTGTCTTGTGTACTGCAGTCTACAAAATCCTCAGCAGGTGGTTAAAAACGAATCTCCAGGCGTGATGGGCTGGGCTGTTGTGAAATTGGGAACTAAGGTGTTCTGTGAATAATCTCACTCAGATCAAACCAGAGCAAAGTGAAGATGTTTAGGTCATCAGAACTGGCTCTGTACATAAGGAGTTGTCACGATTTAGTTCTCTTTGACTCAACAGAGATACCTGGTCTGTACTGAGAGAGGTGACCCAAGATGCCACCATGTGCATGTGTGCTGGATTTGCAAGAAAGCTTTGTCCTTGTCTCAGCAGCAGTGTAGCTCATATCATTCTTGACATGTTTTGTTCACCAGAGCCCCTCTTCTTCCCTGTTTTCTCCCTCTGAGCCTCAGAAGATTAGGATCCCATTAAGTATATGATATGCTGTGGCTGACCTGGTCGTCCTGTCAGAATGACCAGGCAGGGAGGAGGAAAGTGATGCTCTACTGCTTTCCCCTCAATGCCCCTTCTGAAATCAATTAAAACCCATTATTTGATGTTAAAATGTCTTCTTACCATCTCTAGTCTCTCTCTTTTTCAACAATGAGATCGCCTCAAACAAGAGCAGAGCAGACAGGGCAGATGGATAAAGCACAGCTATGACGAGCTAGATATGCTATAGGGAAGCCTGGAGCATCTGCTAGAGGCAGCTCTGGGAAGCCCTGGGTGACCATGCTGGTCCCTTGTCTGTTGGTAACAGACATGGAGGTGTCATTAGAAGTTGTTCTGCTGGCAGTGTGGGAAGAATAATGCCCTGTAAATTTTTAATGTGTTTTTTAGCCATACATTTCAGCCCAGAGTGCTGCAAAAGGACTTGCATGGGAGCATCAGTGTTGTACAAATTCCAACAAACCACCTAGGTTGTGGGAAGGACCAATTTCATGACCAGTTGAGTTACAAATCCTTATTTTTGTTTAATCACTTTAGAAAAAAATAAATCAATATTACTCCTACTTATTATTAGCTTGTTTAATGTAGCGTAACCCTCACTTTTCTCAATTTCTTACATCCAGATCATTGGGTTATCTGAAACGTAGGTCTGTAATCATAGGTGGCACTGAATATATAGTATAAATTTCTACTTGCTCATAATTCAGCACTTAGTAGGAAATTATCCTTTCTGCTGCAGATGTATTTGTAAACCCAGCCAACTAATTTTTCAAGGGCCAAGCTTTTAGCTCTTCCAGTGGGACACAGCTTCACTGATGCCCACTGGGGTGAGATGCCTGGCTGAATTCAGCAGCTGGGAACCCATCCACAGCGTTTGGGGCAGTAGCTCTAAGCACTCGCCAGCCCCCCTGAAGAGCTGTGGCTTGTGTTACGAGGTAGACCAAGACATCCTGCGTACAGATGCATTGAACTGGGTCTGCCAGGGAGCAGGATTGGTGCTTTCTATTGTTCCTGTTGAGGAAAAATCCTCAAAAACCACAGGGTCATTTTATTTGGATGCGGGCACGTGTTTGAGGGCAATCAAGGGACAGCACCAAAACAAACTCCCACTCACGCAGAGAGCCCGTGTGACGAACCCTGTGTGCGTGTGTGCTCTTAATCTGCCTCAGCTGTAGGATACAACACGTTAACTTAAGCTTAATTTTATTAAAGTCGTTTGATGTTGTGCCAAGCCGTTGCTGGTAGCCCTCCTTGCTGCTGCAAATCAGTCGAGGCCGTGTTGTCCTCTGCTCTGCGCAGGCTATTTCCAGGGAATAAACTTTCTGAGCTTTCTTGGAAAAGGGTTATGTTGTCCCGAAGCGGGGAGGACAAGATGGCCAGGTACTTACCCTCAGCGGTGTGGACCTTGCATTGAGGATGGTGCAACTTCTGCTGTCTGCCTCTGAATTTGCATCAGTAGTTGGGATTGGGATCGAAGGGCATCAATAGTTGGGCGGCAACTCCGCAAAGTCCAGAAGATTCCAAATCAATTCTGCACGCCTCCTGTCCCGGTTTCCATCTGGGAGAAGGCATGCACGGATAATCTCTTGTTTCCAGGGTAACACCAACTTGTTGATACAATAGCCATGAACCATTGCTCGGCGTGAGGTATCTGTTTACATCTCTGATCTATTTATTATTAGATTTCTTGTGGGTTTTTTATCTTCTGATTTTTGAGTATTTCTCCTAAACAAGACAATAGTTGCCTACATTTAAAACTGGGGTTTGGTATGAAGTAGAGGGAGTTTTGATCAAGGCGCTTTCAGGAAGCAGCATTTAGATTAAAAAAGGGTGTGTGTGTGTAGAATTAGGGCCACTGAAAGATGAGTATCATGGGCACAACAAATCTCAAATCCATATGTCCTTCTCCCTGGCTCGTTGCTTGCTAAGTGGGCACTACCTAATGTTTCCCAAGGGAGATTTTATGTTGCATGGACGGTATTTTCATTGCCGTTCCTTGCAATGTTGTGGAAAATCCACATTACAGCCCCTGAGCATCTCGTAGCACTTCTGTGGAAGAAGGCTTTTGGAGGTACACCAAGCCTCCCTGCTTATGTTTGCCCTCAGGTACATCTACTTTTACTTGAAAGCCATGCTTGTTAGCAGGGCAACTTAAGGGATAAATATTGCACCTCATTTATTCTGTCAAAGATACGGGCACACACAGATGGCAGAGTTTGTGCTGGAGTTGGTAGGAAGGAGGTGAAGGGGGCGGCTGTCAATGTCTACTTGACAATTTATTCCTACCAGTCCCTCTGGGAGCTCTTCCCAGGGTTATGTAGCTCTTAGTGAGTCTGTGCTGTGTGTTTCTTGGCATGTTCATGGGGAAATCTGATCTTTGGCTTTGGTTTCACCACCTTGTTTTTACACACGTTGTACACAAGCCATCCTAAAACTGTTCAAAGTGTCACAAACCTCTTAGTGCGAGGTAGACCAGAAGTCCAGCTTGGAGAACCTCAGATTTGACAGCTCAAAATTTCATGTGCTGTCTCAAAGCATTAATCTGTTCCTTAGAAATGACTGGGCTGGTTTTTTTTTATTTATTTATTTTTCCAAAATACAGGATATTCCAACCCAGTGACCCTTAGTTTGGCAAGGTCATGGGCAACTCCAGGTTGACTTTTTCTCCAAGTAGTATTGCCCAGCTTTGGTATGAGTGGAGTTACCGGTGCAGCTGCAAAGTAGAATACAGATGTAGGATGATTGCTGCCTCTCCTATGACGATTCTGCTAAAATTTTGCAGGCACTAGAGAAAAGTACTGTAGAACATTTCAATTTTGTCGTATTTCCATTAGGGTGATGTGCTTTCAATCCAGGAAAACACCTGCTCCTTTCCAAACTTGGATTTCCTATAGTGCTGTTGAGACCTGCACAGGCAACAAATCATAGAATCATAGAATGGTTAGAGTTGGAAGGGACCTTAAAGATCACCAAGTTCCAACCCCCCTGCCATGGGCAGGGACACCTCCCACTAGAGCAGGTTGCTCAAAGCCCCATCCAGCCTGGCCTTGAACACCTCCAGGGATGGGATATCCACAGCTTCTCTGGGCAACCTGTGCCAGTGCCTCACCACCCTCATAGTAAAGAATTTATTTCTAATATCTAATATAAATTTCCCCTCTTCCAGTTTAAAACCGTTACCCTCTGACAAAAAAAAAAAAAAATGAAACACTAAAATATTCTGAAAGTTTCATTCCTTCTGCATGCTGGGTGAGATTTCCCTAGAGGATATTGCAGAGGACAGGGGGAGATAAAGTGCTTTCAGAAATTAAAGTTTTCTTGAACTATGTCTCAGTATGATAGTAAACTTGGTTAATGAGAAGTTACAGGATTTTTGGTTCCCATTGGTGCCACTTGGCAAGAATTCCCCTATGGTATCTTCTAAGCTATTTGCCTTCACCTTGTTAAGATAGGGAAATATCCAGTTAACCTGCCGTGGTTAGTAATGTCAAATACTAATACCTCATTGGCAAATCAGCCTCTTTAGATACTGATGATTCATTTTCTGCATGCTGGAAAACCATGAGTAAAAATGGATTTACATAAACACGTCTTTTCCTTCCGAGTGTTATGGGACCGTTGGCAAACGCTGTTTCCGAACGTGCTGCCTGGGCAGGTCAGAGCAGATTCCCAAAGCTCGGCTCTGACTTCATCCCTATTGTTCGCTTCCACCGAAGCGTGAAGCAGCGAAGTTTGGTTCCCTGTAGATTTGCGTGCACCACGCATTACTCACAGCCATAGGAGCCTCTCTGAAAGAATATGGGGCCACGTTAAAGACCAATGTAGACATTAATTTCCATATTCTCCTTTACTCATCCATACTTCCTTAAAATATGTAGGAACTTAATGTTTTTTGATATCTCTACTCTTCTGTCAAAGTTGGTTGAAGTTCACCCGATGGGTCAGAAGTTATCAAGGACTGGCAAACTGGGATGGAGAGCCATTGCCTCACTGCCTTTGGAAAACACACTAAAAATAGGTATAAAAGGCACCTCCAAATCTTATGGAATTCATCTGCCTGTATCGTCTGATCAGCATTAGCTGATATTTTTCTAACCTCTTCTTAAAAGTCTCCAGTCGCATGGTCCCCAAGGAGTCACCAGTGCTTAAGATCCTTATGGGTATGAAGCATTTCCTAATTGCTAAATCTTCCAGGCTAGAGTTTTAACCTACTACGTTGGAAGTCTTACTCCTCTAATTCCTCCTGAAGCTAACGAGAATGTTCAAATGGGGAAAGGTTACAGAAGCAGGCCCTGGAAAGCATTTAGTTAGGTAAGTCACGATCGAACTTCAACACCCACCTCTGAGTTTCTCTGCACTTTTTTTTTCACAGTCAAGAATAGTGACAAATCCAGATGAATTCCTGTTTATTCCAGGATCTAGTTAAAGAGAGTGAAAACCTTAATGCCAGGCTGGTATATCTCTCCACCTT